GGGGCGCCCGGAGCCGGCCTGGGGCGGGTGGGGCGCTGGGGACCCGGGGAGGCGCCCGTGCACCCCGGGGATGGCCGCGAGGCGTGTCCTACGGCGGATGCTCTGGGGAGGTGTGTTCCGGGGGCCAGGGGGTGGCTGTGTTGTGGGGGGCCCTCGCTCGCACACCCACGTTCTGTAGGGCCAGAAAGGGGAGGCGCCTTCCATAGGGAGAACTGGAGGCCTGTTTGACACCTGGGGGACCGTGGCGGGGCGTACGCGTCCTGGGGGCGCAGGAAGGGGGCATTGTGTCTTGCACTGGGGAGGGGTGCTGCCAGCCGTGGTGTGTATTCCGTAGGCCACCGTAGAGAAAGTTGTCTATTTCACAGGAGCTAGGCCTGGGCGGGCGGGCCGTGGGGGGCAGAAAGGCAAAGTGTTGGAGGGAAGCAGACAAGGAGGGGCATGTGCATCCTACAGGGGACGGATGGAGGGTGGCGCGTTCTCCAGGGGCAGGGAGGGGAGGCTGGCCCCCCTGGAAACAGAGGCAAAGCATTCTTCAGGCCAGTCGGAGGGCCCCTGCTGCCTGGGAGAGGAGAGCAGCGAGCAGGTGCTAGGAGATCCGGGAGAGAAAGGGGGTGTGTATTCCTCGGGGTGTGGGGATTCCACTGGGGGCCAGAGGAGGGGTGCGAAGGGAAGAGAGGGGGTTCTGTGAAGGGACCGGGCGTGGATGTCACTCTGGCGCGTCAGGGGGTGGGGGCGGAGTGTTTTCCACACAAACACCTGAGGAGGAAGCAGACAAAGGCCTGGAACGAGAGAGGGACGCTGGCCAAGCATGGAAAATGGGACAGGGGAGGGAGGGGGCTCCTCGGGGACCTGAGCAGACATATTAATTGAAAAATTAAAAATTAACTAACATTTGAAGAGGCCTTCGTAGTTTTGCTCACTTTAAGTCTCACAACAACCCTGAGGTAGGTGTTTTAATTGCGCTTTGTGGAAGAGAGAACGGAGGTTCAGAGTGGTCAAGTGTCCTGCCCAGGGCCACACCAGTAGGCAGCCCAAGGCCAAGCCAGCTGGTCCTAGCTTCTTGCAGCCCCTCCACCTGTTGGGCTCCCCACCCTGAAGGCTGGCAAAGGCTGGGCCTTCTGGGTGCCATCAGCCTGGCTCAAAGGCGCTCAGGGCCCAGGGTGGCATGGTGGATGTGGGCACTTTCTGGAGCGGCCTCTGAGCCCCTCTCTGCCGGCAGTTCCAGGGCCTGCAGCTGGAGCGCGAGGCATGCCTGGCCTCCAACTACGCGTTGGCCAAGGAGAACCTGGCCCTGCGGCCCCGCCTGGAGATGGGCAGGGCTGCCCTGGCTATCAAGTACCAGGAGCTGCGCGAGGTGGCTGAGAGCTGTGCAGACAAGCTGCAGCGACTGGGTGAGAGGACAGCTAGGAGCGCTGCCTGGGGGAGGGCAGCTGACCATCTGGCTGGTTGACCCTCGGGATGTGCCATGCTCTGAAGAAAGGGAGTTGGGCAAGCCTATTCCCAGGCACATGTGAGGGGTGCTAATCCTGGCCTCCTGGGAAATGAGTCGGGGAAGTGAGCAGCTGTGGTTAAGAGAACTGAGGGGGGCCCTGGGCAGTGGGAGAAGAGAACTTGGGATGTCCAAGGAGACAAGGCATCTGCTTCTCTTTTGCACTAGGCTGAAGGCAGAACAGGGGAGTCTTGGGGGGTGCACATAACATTTTTATGCAGGTCTAGTACAAGGTGGGAAGCTGAGGGTCCGGAAGAGAGAAAGGAAAAAGAAGAGCATAGACTCAGGTGCAGAGCCCCTGGGAGAGGCAAACTTGGTCCCCAGGGGGGGGTGGTCTGTCCAGCCTGTCCTGGGAGATAGGCCCTGAGGGCAGGGCCTGTTCACTCCATCCCTCTGTGGTCCTCAGAGGACAGCATGCATCGCTGGAGCCCCCACTGCGCACTAGGCTGGCTGCAGGCAGAGCTGGAGGAAGCTGAGCAGGAAGCTGAGGTGAGGTCAAGATGCTGCGTCTGGGGACATGGAGAGAGACCCTGCCTAGCCCACTCCTCCCCAGCAGGCTCTGGGGTGCCTCCTCCAGGACGCCCTTCTGGGCAGGCACTGAACAAACAGCAAGGGGCTCCCTCTGCCCACTTGTCACATTCCCCAGGCTCAGGGCAGCGCAGGGCCGCTGGGTCTGCTGGGTCTCCAGTGCCGTGGCCGCTGCGTGAGTCTGCTGGGGCAGGAAAGGGACACTAAGCTCCAGCCTGGTATGTCTGCACATCTCTGACCTGCAGGCCTGGTGATGGTGTCCTCCTCACTTTGTAAGAGCGTGGTGGACATTTGTCCACAGGCAGGCCCTGTGGGGGTCACCGGGGGAGGGCACTCGGGTCAGCCCCCGCCTGTGGCCGCGGCTCACGCCCCTCCCTGGTCGGCCCCAGGAGCAGATGGAGCAGCTGTTGCTGGGGGAGCAGAGCCTGGAGGCCTTCCTGCCCGCCTTCCAGCGGGGCCGCGCGCTGGCGCACCTGCGGAGGACCCAGGCCGAGAAGCTGCAAGAGCTGCTGAGGCGCAGGGAACGGGCCGCCCAGCCGGCCCCCACCGCCGCCCCCGACCCCCCCAAACCCTTCGCCCCTGCAGCTGTCCTGCCCACCGGGGCCTCCCGGGGGCCACCAGCAGTGCCCCGGAGCTTGCCTCCCTTGGACTCCCGCCCAGTGCTCCCGATGAAGGGCTCCCCCGGGTGCCCCCTTGGCCCGGCCCCCCTGCTGAGCCCTCGGCCCTCGCAGCCAGAGCCCCCCCACCGGTAGGATCCAGGGTGTGGCCCCCCCATGGGGGGCCCAGACAAACTTGATGCGTGGCTCGTCCTTCTCCCCCTCTGCCTGGGTGGGGGGAGGGGCGGGCCCCTCCCCCAGCCTCAGGCAGGCCCCAGCCCTGGAGGCTGAGCTGGGGAGGAGAGAGGGCTGGGAGTGGGGAGGGCAGGGTGCTGGCCTCAGGCACTGAGGAAACTCTGCCTCTTCTGTCTCCCTGGGACCTCGGGGTGCTGGGCCAGCCCCCATAAAAGAACTTGACTCTGTGGAGGCCTATTGCCCCTCCCGTCACTCTACCAGGCTCGCACAATACCAAGGCCGACAGGAGTGTTTCTGTCATGCCCTGAGCCTACCTTTCCCCCAACTCTGGGGCCCACCTCCTAGGAGCCAGGTGGTCAGGCCCCAGCATCGGGGTCATGGACCCCGTGGTCCAGGGGCCACTACAGGCCCCACTCACGCTCCAGACCCTGGGACAAGGTAGGCCAGGGGCTTCTGACCTGCACAGGTGAGAGCGGGCCATCCCCAGGAAAGACCATTCTGTATTTTTTCTGTCCCTGTCTCTTAGAATGGAACCTTTTTGAGGGCAGGTCCTTGTCTTTGTATGTTCTGTCCCCAGCCCCGCCTCCCAGGGGCCGTCAATAAATGTGATGATGAGGATGATGCTGCCCCCGGCTCTTCCCTGCGGACTCCACGTCTCAGCTCCTGCGCCTCCTACTCACATGCCACCCTCCCTTCCTCTCTGCCCAACCACACACAGCCCAGCTGTCCTTTACGCCCAGCACTGCTCCTGTCTGTCTCTTCCATGAAGCCTTCTTTGATTTTCAACGCGAGACTCTGCCCTAGCTCTCAGCTCCGGGGCACTTCTGGCCGGAAGTGCACTGCTCCACTGCTGCTCTCCAGGTGTGGCACCTGTGCGCAGCCTGGTTGTCTGGAAGCCCATTTGGGGTATCAGGCTGGTTACCTGCTCCTTCCTGGCCTGCCTAATGCCCACTCCACTGAGTGATGCTGGGAGGGCCTTCTGTTGGGCTGATGGGATCTGTCCTTGGCTTAGGTCAACACTAGGTGACCAGTCAATGTCAGAAAAGATGAGAGAGCAGGAATGTGCCCTGGACCTGGTTACTGAGACGCAGCAGAAAGGCCTGGAGGGTCTGACTCCCTAAGAAGGGACACACAGCTTCTTGTAGAGGTCTACAGAGCTATCGAAGCCCTGATCCAAGTTAACAGAGGCCATTAACCACTGACAAGTGCTGGCCTGACTCTACGTTTCATTGAAGTTTTATATTAAGAAAAATCTCTTATTGTCATCACAACTGAACCAGCTCATAGTGGATCCACCAGGGGTTTCTGGGGCTGAAAACTCCATGGGAGGAGATTGATTACCATCTGTTTCCCCTGTAGCCACTGGTGAATTTCAACTGCCAGAGAGATGTGGCCTTCGGATTTGCAGTGCAGCTTCCTACCTACCGACTGGGTCACCAAAGTTTCCTTTACCCTAAGAAGGATCCCCAAAACAGAACCTTTGGGGTGATAACGATTAGGATTGGCACTGCAGACTCTTGAAGGGCTGGTGTGAAATATGTGTGTTGTGTGTTTATGATAGCTTTGACACTCTAAAGAGCTGTTTCATATAGTTAGAAGTCAGAGCTCAGACCCATGGGTAGAATCCAAAGAGAGCCAGAATTTGGCTTAATCAGAGGCTCTTTAAAGGCTTGATAGGGCATGTTTAAATATTTGGCTGTTAAGGGGAAGGCCAGTGGTCCAAACCCAGTAGCCACTCTGTATGAGAGACATGGCAGTTTGCTTTTGTAAAGGTCACAGCTTTGGAAATCTGCTGGGTAGACTTTGAGCAGACACGGAGTCCATGGCAATAGGTGCGGCTGGAGGGAGCTGCTGCTCCCCACCCCTGAAGATGTGGGAGCATGCCTGACTGCCTGCCTGTTCCTAGGAGCTGTCTCGAGAGATTTAAGCAATAACTCAGGGAGGGAACGACTGGCTTTCGGGAGCCCTCCAGGCCTGGACAATCAGATCTGCCTGAGGACACAGTTAAGGCCCAAATGGTGCCACGGAGACCCTCTGTCTCACCTTGTTCACCACCTGGTTCTCCTGCTCTCTTTACTGCTGACACTTGGGGACATCAGGATTACAGGGTCTCTGTCTGAGATGACCCCAGGCTGAACAGCTTTGGAAGATCTCCCCGACTCCTGAACCTAGACTGCACCCCTCTTGTCCTGGCTTCTCATTCCTGGTCTCAGCTTCCAGGATTTTCGTTTTTGACCGAAGGGGAAAGGGGCTAGAGTTGGGCCTCCCTCCACTAGCAGGAATGAAGGAGCGGCCTCTAGAAGGCAGAGCTGCCACCCAGAGCCCAGGTCAGCCTGCCGTCTTGAGCACAGACAAGGAGCAGAGGAAGGCAAGGTCCAGGCAGAGAAGAGACTGGGAGGGAAGAACAGTGTTGCCATGGGGACAAGATGGGGTCCTTCAAAGGGTCTCCCACACGTCACTTTTCTTGAAGAGCCCAGGCTCAGCGTTAGGGAGGGTAGGGAGTGAGCTTGTTGATCAACTCTCCTCCAACTACCTACGGCAGGTGGAGACGACCACTGTCACGGCAGAGGGGACCTGGATCTGGACCCCTTAGGTTAGAATGGCTAGGAAGTTTCACCAACCACTCTGTCTGAAGGTACATGGAATGTGCTGGAAGTCTGGACCCTCTCCCCTGCCTGAAACCTTCTAGAACTCTCTAGCCTTCAGGCTGTAGGGGATGTTCTTGTTCTCATGTGAGAGAACAAACTTGAAGGTCTACATCGGGTGGCCCATGAGAAAGCCCCACTTAGTACATACCGCCAGTGCCTTCCAAGGAGCCCCGATGGCGTCGTGCATGACACACTGGCCTGCTAACCAGAAGGTTAGCAGTTCCAACCTATCAGCTGCTGTGTGGGAGAATGATGGGAAGCCTCCTCCGTAAAGATTTATGGTCTTTATGGAAGATTTATGGAAACTCAATGAAAAGTTCACTGTGGGTCACGACCAACTCAATCGCAGTGAATCCGGCTTTTGTTTGAGGGGTTTACAAAGAAAGAACAAAAAAAATTCTTCCAATAGCAAGACTCACTTCTCCCCTCTTTCTCTATAAATAGCTCTGGTCCCTAAAGTCTTTTATACAAACCTTCTTTGGGAATCACTAGCTTCTGCACATTTTGTTTTCAAATATGACACATGGTCACATCAAATGTGCTTTTCCATGGGCTCAGTCTTTACCACAGAATCATGTGGTCATTACAAAGCCACGGCGGAGGGCTTGACCCTGACCTCCAAGATTAGAGAACTGAGTGGTTTCCAAGAGTAAAGGTTGGACCAGCTGAGAGTTTGTCCCAATTTAGACACACCTTTCATGCAAAAGACTAAGTGGAGAAATTGGGGGTACTGTTCCAAAGGACTTCTGGTTTTGACTAAGATCCTAACATTGCTGTCAACCCTCAAAAGATTCGTGTCCCACCATGAAAGTGAGATTGACACTCTGCCTCCTGCGAAGGGAGGGCTCCTGCAGCTGTCTGTGCTGCAGACAAGGGACTAGCACACTCAAACACCTGCGGGGTCAAGGTGACGCTGAGAAGTAAAGCAGCTACTTCCACAGAGAGACACACACCATTTCCTGGAAATACATGCTGCTTCTGTTTTCCTTTCTGGCAGACCCAGGGTAGAATACCCTTTTTCTGCTGTGAGGAGGATGGGTGAACAGCCTTTACCTTCACCTCTGTTGGTGGGAAGTAAAGTTAGCTACTAGCAACATTCTGGCTTGAAGGGCTGACTTCACTTTGCTTCTTCCAGTGGCAACATGGTGGGGGACTCAAAGGTGGCACATGTTCTCACTTTTTGCGGTTAAGAAATGTACATTTTCCCTCCCGTTTTTTAGTGTTGGTTAAATCTAATACTCTAGGCCAGCCAAGCATGGTCACGGATTGTGTTCCTGCTCTCCGGAGGCCTGCCTGTCTTCTGGTGGCTGTCCCTTCCCAGAGCTGACAGTGAGAACAATGACGGGGCAAAGGCAAGCTGGGAGGGCTTATACATCTCGAGACCAGTAGCTCTAGGCCCCCCCAGTATCAGGGCAGCCTTAAGGGACAGAGGAGCCATGGCTAGATTCGAGTGAGCCTGCGACCCCAGGGCAGATGGACAGAGAGGAATTTTTAGTGTTGACTTCTTGGGAACGGAAGCCTGAGCATTCCTCGTATATGCAAGGTCACAAGGTTCAAATCTCACTGTCATCTTCGTTCATCTTAACAGAGGGACATTGAGCTGCTTTGCATAAATCCTAGGGCACCAGGGCTGCAAGCCTGGCCTGTGAGTCAAGATGCTGAGGGCAGGCGAGGAGCATCTTCATACCACAATCTTGACATTGGAAAGTCACGTCATCACAGGCTGAGCAACTAAGCGACGGTCAGGATCTCCGAGAACAGTGGGATTCCGGGAAGCCCTCCTACTTACATCTGTGCCTTCCCTTAGCCATTCTTTATGGGGTGGGGCCTGCTAACCTTCTAGGAAGCCCAACTGTTCAGGACTAAAGTCTCTCATTTCCCAGCCAGCCAGTGTTGGAGCATATTCACTGGGGCTTTTACCTGGTGGGGCCTCCGCCTCTGCTTTAAATGTCTGCAGAGGGACAGCATAACAACTCTGGCCTCATGGAGACTTTTATTAATCTTGGCACATTCTGGGACTCTTAACAAGGGAAGGTGCATGCAATACGATAGGAGGGACCGAGAAATCCTACTCCCTCAATATTGTTGTTACCCTTGGGTCAGAACTGATCCATAGCTGAGCTCCAAGCGTGTTTCCAGAAGCATTAAATAGCACAGGATGACAATGCCCACCTTTCTCCCACAGAGCAGCTGGTGGATTCGAACTGTATACCTTTGGGTTGTCAATGCCAATTTCATACTGCTATGCCACCCGAGCTCCCCTACTCCCTCAACACTGGGATCTGTTAAGGATCATTTTATCAAGATAAAAAAAAATAAGGGCCAACAAAGGAGAAAAGCAGTCTGGCTCAATGGGAATAAAGTGAAATCCTGATCAAACCCAGACAATGGCCTAGCATGGGAGCTGAGTTGATTCCTATCCCATGCACACCCTGATGCCTCCCTCACTCAGGCCTCCTTTCCAGGCTCAAGCTTTCTGAGTTTTATTCTAGTTTGTTGACTGAAAATAGAAAAAAGGGCTTAGGGATGGCATGTCTTCCTCCACCATCAGGAACTACGTAGCAGCTCTTAGAAGGCAGGGGTCGGGGAGCTCTGGTGGCCTAGTGGCAAGAAGCTGCACTGCAATCCCAGAGGCACATGGTTCAAATCCACCAGATGCTCTGCCGGGGAAGGAGGGACAATCCCCTCCTGTACCAACCAGTCAGATCTGATTTGACGGTATACTCAAATAATAAAATAAAAAATAAAAAAAAGGCAGGGGTCAAAAGTCCAATGCCTCGTTCTGCCTCTCCTCCCTACGCCAGATAAGCTGCGGATGGAAAGACAGTGAGTAGAAAAATGATGGGACCAGATGAGGTCCTTTGAAAGGCTTCCCCTATACCTCATCTTCTATACAGTCCCGGCTCTGTTTTAGAAAGCGGGGCCCCACAGTGTTTTCTTGGGACTGAAAGTCAATCCGTGTTCAGCTCATGGTTACCACCATGAAAGCACAGTGGACCTAGTTCTGGGCCATGGGAGCAGCTTAGATGACTAGGGATAAGCTTCCCTAGCCACCCTGAGTGAAGGTAGATGGAATGTTCCAGTGAGTTTTGTTTCAGGCAGTCTATGCCGTCCCTCCACCCTGAAACCTTTTGGAGCTTTCTGTGTTGATCCAGGTTCAAGGGCCCCAAGGACTATTCTTAGCTGTAATTTTTGCTGAGATATTAAACTTGAGTGGTGCTTATCAAAGGGCCCTGGAGATGCTCCCAGTAGAGACCCCCAGTGCTTTTCCAAACCCAAATTAAGAGCTCCAATCCCTTCTGAGAGGACAAAAAGCTCTTGCTCCAAAGGCTGCCATCTTGGTTGAGTGCCAAGAGCATCTGTACATTTTGGGAACCTTTACTTCCTGTGAAGCCAGGTGGCACTGTGGTTGTGTGGTACTGCTTGCTAAACGAAAAGTCAGCAGGTGGAACCCATCAGTCACTCCTTGGGAGAAAAAATGGGCAGTCTCCTTCCAAGATTTCTCACCTCGGAAACTCAGTGGAAAGTGGCTATGAGCTGCAATCAACTCCACAGCAGCAGGTTTGGTTTTTCAATTTTACTTTCTGCAGTTTGTACTTCACAAAGAACAGACTTTCCGTAAGAACTGGAGGCAAAGCAATGTGGATTTGGAGAGGTCTAGAGCCAGCTTGCTCCTCGCAGGCTCAAGATCACCCACCCAACACCGGATTATTTGGGTCGGGAAAAAGAGACAGATTTTCTTCCTCTTGCTTTCCAAATATGAAATACACTAACATTAAATGTGCTTTTTAAAGTACATCTCTCCCCTCTCCCCACTGTAAGGCTCCTGGAGGCAAGGCCGGAACCAGAGGGAGTGCAGATCTTTCCACTGGATTATGTGGAATCTAGTGAGAAGCTGTGGCCAAGAGCCTGCCCTTGACCTTCCAGGGTAGAGAACTGAATGGCTCCCAAAGGACAAGTTGGACTAGCCATGGGCTTACTGAAATGTGGACAAGGATTTTATACAAAAGACCGGCTGGAGGAATTAAGTGTGACGGTACCAACATAAACTTCTTTGTTTAGACCTCAAACTTGATGCCTCATTCTCGCAAAAGAGCTTTCCCAAGTTTTTCCATCTCACAGCTTTTACACATGAACCTCTACGTCCCTCACACAACCCTACATGCAGTGATTCAGGGTTAAAAGAACCTTCTTCCTGCACCTCTAGCTTTGCTAACAGCGAAAAGAAACCTCAGCCGACTCTGAACAAGGACTTAAGCCTATACCCTGATCTCCTGCCCCTCAGAGTCCTGTCTAATCCACACGCCGAACACTTCACACAGCCTTTGGCAACTCTGCTTCATGACAGGGTTTGTGAGGTCAGTGACTGGCACCACATGACCAATATGGACAACTTTCCAGAAATACAAACTTCGAATCTCTTATTTCCTTATGAGGATGCTGCAGTTAGCAATAAGGTTGGCTGGTTAGGGGGTAACCAGGTTACTGGCACACATTGTCCCATAGTTGAATCTAGCTTTGCTAGCATCATCTTATAACCCCCAAGTCTATTTAGAACCATAAGTAATAAAACAGGACAGCCCTCAGCAGAGGGATTTACTCCTCTGACAGCATGCCCACCAATTTAGCTTCTTCACAGTCTTGCAGGAGACAAGTGTCATTTTGGGGCATCCACTCCCAAACGTCACCAATCGGAAGGGGAGTGGGCTCGGGGGCCAACAAGAGAAGCACGGCAAGGTCTTCACATGATACTCTTACCCCAAGGTCAAGTCTCACCTGTGGCTGGGGGAACTCACAAAAGACAAATGTCAAACAACCCCAACACTTTTCATTTGGACACATTGCACAAGTCAAGGTTACAGGAGCCCCGAGACACAGAAGTGGGGCAGGTAGGGGTGACTCTCAAACATAGCTTTACAAAGAAGCCAGGGCGAGGGTTCCAGAAACGGACATCAGGAAGGCAGCCTCTGGAAGCAGACATCCGGGGGACGCCAGGGAATTCCTGGACTCCATCTCGGGGGGGTCTCTTTTTATTGCCTTGGATGGCCTCTTTTTCTGGATTTTAGGGGAGGGCTGTGCAAATCAATGACCATGGTGGGAGAGCGACACACAGTTCCTCGGGCGCCCAACCAGAGGTAGATTACGGAAGGGGCAGGATTCAAATGACCAAAGGATGGTTTCCTTTAGGGCTGGCCCCCCTTCCCTCCTTTCTCCGAATGCATTCGGAAGCCGATGAGGATAAAGACGGTGAAGAGCAGGATGTCCAAGGTGTTGTCTCGGGTCTCATCCCAGCTGAAGCCTTTCTTGGCCCGGTCCTTGCGCTGCTTGCGCAGGGCCTCGCGCCGGGCCCGCAGGTGCCGCTCGCGCTCCAGCTGCTCGCCGTAGTGCGCCTGGTAGAAGGCGTCGAAGTTGAACATAGTGCGGCCGTGGGCGGCGGTCTGATAACCCTCCCTGCAGACACGCGACGAGGCTGGCGGGGCGCGAGGCCAGTCCGAGTCTGACCGGGTCACCTTGGATGGCCGCACGCCAGGTCCACGCAGGTTCTCGTCGCTGAGCAGGCCGCGGTCATACTTACGACGGAGGGTGGCGCTGCCCAGCACCACGTAGGCCTGGGAGATGCGAGTGAAGCGCTCAGTGGCCTCGGGGCTCCCCGAGTTGCGGTCGGGGTGATTGAGGAAGCTCTGCCGGTAGTAGGCTGCCTTGATTTGCGCTTGCGTGGCTGTAGAGGGCACCCCGAGCAGCTCGTACAGCGCCGTGCGTGAATAGGAGTCGTCGCTCCAGGAACGAGTCCTTACCCCGAAGCCATGGCTCGGATCCCGATTACAGGGGGCTCCCCGGACCTGCCAAAAAGGCCACAGTAGCCGGCAAGGCCACCTGCTGCCGCACGTGGCTGCCATCTTGAATACGTCGGGCGGGCGGGGCCAGGTGAGCTGATCAATGAAAGATCCTAATTGTTCGCAGTGCGTCAACCTCTCAGCCAATCGGGTGTAAAGAAGACGGGAAGAGAGAGATGGAGCATGTGTGTTGCGGTCGCGGGCCGATGACGTCAAAACTAGTTTCCGGAAGTCGCTGGTCGCCGGCGTGCCGTAGACAGCGAGGATGGCTTGTCGTGGGCGGAGGCCGGAGCACGGGGGACCCCCGGAGCTGGTGAGGCTGTGGACCGGGGCATCCCTCCCTCTCTCCTGTTGCAGGACCATAGCGTCTCGACCCCCCTTCTTACTGTCCCTTTCTCATTTTCTTTCCCTTAGTTTTACGACGAGAATGAAGCCCAGAAATACGTTCGCAAGTGAGTAGAGCCTGGGGGTCGGCGGGGGTCGAGAGCCGGCAGATTGCCTGCAGGGCTCCGATTGCGGGTTAAGCTTGGAAAGAACCTAACAGTGGAAGGAAGGAAGGACCTAGATTAATCCCATTTCTTCCACTGGCAAAGACAGCTTTAAGTAAATCATCGACGGCTCTGGGCCTCAGTAATCACATTATTGAGATGGGGATGATTCTACTTATTTCTCTTGGCTGTTTTCATGATTTGACTCCACGAGCTGTTTTTGAGCATGTAATAAACTAGGCAGAGTATATACGTAAGGGGTCAGTACTGTTGAAGGAGAGACAATCTTAGAATGCTTCGGTGCTGCTGTTGTGTAATCTCATCTTCTTGACCAGACAACCTAGTTTATTGTCTGAATTTTACAGAATGTAGGTCTAAGGGCTCGAGCTAAGACTTCTGAGTTTGCTTTTTGCGACCTAGTGCTCTGTAGAAGAGCCTACACACGCCGTTCTCAGGTCAGCAACAAGCTCAAGACCAAAAAGTCAGTTATTCACACTCCTCTGATGAGAGACCTGTAGTCTGCTCCCATGTTGTTGTTTTTGTTGTTGTTGTCATCGAGTCTCTTGCAACTCATAGCAACCCCATCTATGTACAGCAGCTCTGAACCCTGCTCTATCCTGAGCCAACCTCATTGTCTCTGACACCCCTACCCCCATTACCCCAGTCACTGAGTCAATCCATCTCATCGAGGGTCTTCCTCTCTTGTGCTGTCCTTCCACCCTCCCAAGCATGAAGTCCCTCTCCAAGGACTGGTCCCTCCTTGGTAACATGCCCAAAGCATGGAACTTTAGAATCCTGGCCTCTAAGGGGCAGCCTTGTTTCGCCCTCTCCAGAATGAACCTGTTTGTTCTCCTGGAAGTCCATGGTATATTCAATACTCTTCTCCAGCACCACAGCTCAAAGGCATCAGTTTTCCTTCTATCATCCCTAGTCATTGTCCAGCTTTCTGATGCGTAGCAGATTAATAAAACTTAAACTTGCTGTCGATTGAATTGGCTCCCTCTGTTAGGTTTCCAAGGCAGTAAATCACACTGGGAAGAGACTTGCTGTGTTTCCCTTGTGGAGTCACTGGAGGATTCCAGTCACTGAGATGCACAGCCTTCAGATTAGAAGTACATCGTGTTTTTTTAAATTTTTTTATTTTAGTAATTTTAATGAACATTTACAGAGATTTTAGATTTCCATTCATTCATTGCTGCACTTCTCTCCCGCCCAGCGCCCCCCCCCCCAAGTACATCTTGCAACAAACTGTGCTACAGCCTAGGAAACCCTTTTGAGCAGTTCGGCTCTGTCATTTGAAGACCAAGATGCACCATATTCAGATCATGGTCTTTTGAATTACCTGTGGCACATCAGGGACCTGAACAGTGAATTAGCATGACAGGAGAAGAATTAATGCCTTTGAGTTATGCTGGAGAAGAGTACTGAATATCCCACGGGCTGCCAAAAGAACAAACATATGTCTTGGAAAAAGTCCAGCCAGAGTGCTCCTTGGAGGCTAAGTGAGGCTATTCCTTGGAAAGGGATAGCATTTTTTGAAAGATAGAAGTCAGGAAAGTCTGCTGTTGAGGGCCTCTCCACAGTACTGAAGAGCAATGGTGTCACTCTGGAGACTAAGGTGCACCTGATACAGGCTATAGTCTTTGCAGTCACTTGCCATGCATCAGAGAACTAGACAGTGGCTAGGGAGGATAGCAGGAGAATGATGCCTTTGAGCTGTGGTGTTGGAGAAGAGTTTTGAATATACCATGGACTGCTAAGAAAATGAACAGGTTCATCCTGGAGAGGGTTCAACCACTGCTGCTTCATGGAGGCAGGAATGCTGAAGCTTTGTCTGACATACTTTGGACATGTTATAAGGAGGAATCAATCCTTGGAGAGGGAGGGTGAAGGGACAGCACGGGAGAGGAAGACCCTCTATGAGGTGGATTGATTCGGTGATGGGATAATTGGAATAGTTGTGTCAGAGATAGTGGGATTGGCACAAGATAAGCAGGGTTCAGGGCTGTTGTACATAGGGTTGCTATGAGTCGCAGGCGACTCGACGGCACATAACGAGAGGTCAGTGAAGATCACCAGCAAGATGGACTGACACAGTGACTGCAGCAGTGGGCTCAAGTCGGCCAGAGACGATGAGAATGGCGCAGCATAGGGCAGGCTTCAGGCCTGGCGTTCATAGGGTCACTCTGAGTTGTGCTCGACTTGACTACACCTGGCAACAACTCTGCCATATGCAGTCACTAAGACTGGATGACCCATAACAATGGTGGTTTTCTGGAAAATGGTTCTTTAGTAATAGGAGCTCTTGTGGCCTAGTGGGTAAGGAGTTACACTGCCAACCCAAAGGCACACAGCTCAAATTCTCCAGCTGTTCTTCAGGAGAAAGATGGGCAGTCTCCTTTTGTGCAGTTTACAAACCCTGAAAACCCACTGGAAGATCAGCTGTAAGTCGTTCCAACTCAATTGCCCTGAATTTGGGTTTTGTGGCTTTTTAAAAACTAGTGATAGGTCACATTAAAGCCTGTAGTTGGTCTCTAACGAAATGATTTGCTCCCTACATATATCTGCAATTGGTACAATTACAATTTGTGTTATAAATGATATTGTATGGCAAGGATTTTTGAGGTCACTTTTTTTTTCTTTTCTTTTCCCTGCCTCTTTTTAAACAGTCCCTCCGTAAGTACTATCCACTTAGCTTTGTATCCAAAGACAAATTTGTAGGTGAAAGGAGTTAGCCTTAGTTACAGACTCGTTAATTTCAGGGTCGAAAATATGGAACGCTTCACGAATTTGCGTGTCTTCCTTGCGCAGGGGCCATGCTAATCTTCTCTGTATCGTTCCAATTTTAGTATATGTGCTGCCGAAGCGAGCACTGAGGTCACTTTTAAATAGTTACATTTATTAAACCAAATTTAGGATTACCAGTGAAGACATGAGGAATGAGTCCCTCAGTTTGGTTGACTGTTTTGGGGTTTGTGTTTTATTTTTCTTCTCTTTTTTTTTTATTTTTGTGTGAGTGTACCGTCAAATCAGATCTGACTGGTACAGGAGGAGATTGTCCCTCCTTCCCCGGCAGAGCATCTGGTGGATTCAAACCGTTCGCCTCTGGGATTGTAGTTGCAGCTCCTTGCCAACAGGCCACCAGAGCTCCCCTGTGTTTTATTTTTCTTTTCTTGGCTTTATTTAGGGACGAAGGAAGTAGTAGCCCAGAAATGTCTAACTAGTTGTTTATGCTTCTGCCCTCCCAGCTCTCGGATGATTGATATCCAGACCAAGATGACTGAGCGGGCATTGGAGCTGCTTTGTCTGCCTGAGAATCAGCCGTGTTACCTGCTGGATATTGGGTGAGCGCCTGGGCCCTGGTTCATCCTGTCCACAGGGAGCCTGCTGTGCACCACTGAGTCCCTGCTGTGTTGTGTCTTCCAGGTGCGGCTCCGGCCTGAGCGGGGATTATCTCTCAAATGAAGGCCACTATTGGGTGGGCATTGACATCAGCTCTGCCATGTTGGGTGAGTGTATTCTCTGTGGCACTTGAACGGGCCGCTTTCATGTGTGGGCAGCTGTGTGGCCTGTTTTCCCTAACCTTCTCTTCTCCAATGTAGATGCAGCATTAGACCGAGAAACGGAGGGCGACCTGCTTCTCGGGGACATGGGCCAAGGCATCCCCTTCAGACCAGGTTCTTTTGATGGTTGTATCAGGTGAGGGTCTTCACTTTCTGCAGTGACTCCTCCAGGTCATTGCTTCCAAATCCTGTGTAGCAGAGCTCCATGGGATACCTAGGAAAAGCACGTTTCAGATTATAGGTTTTCAGATCTGTAAGTCCAAGCAAGGCAACTGCCTCAGACCTCACTGCTGGGAATCCTGTCTGTTTTGTGTATGGGGCATGGCAGGGAGGTCCTGACCCTCTAGGAATCATCTTACTGACCCCAATGACTGTACTGTAGCCTTCAGGTTCAAAAACTCTGTAGGGTACAGTGGCCCAGACTGCTCCAGTGTCTTCCCAGGTGGTCAGGGTCGAGTAACTGGAGTCTGAAATGTGTACATAGTACCTTGGTAACAGATCTTAGAAAATGGAAATTACTGTTAGAGTTGTGAAGGTTACCTTCTATGGTTAAGTCTTGTTCAGTATTTGGTGTGTGTTTTGTCTATAGAGTTGTTGTTAGGTACTATTGAGTCAAATATAACTCATAATGACCCTATAAATAACCCATCTGAACACTGTCCTGTTCTGTGCCAGCCCCACAATCTCTGACACGCTCAAATCCGTTGCCACAGTCCGTGTCAATCCATCTGGTTGAGGGTCTTACTCTCTCCATCCTTCCACCTCTCCAAGCTTGATGTCTCTCTCCAAGGAGTAACCTCTCCTAGCAGCATGCCCAAAGTATGTAAGATGAAGAAGGGAAAAGACCTAGCTTAATCGTGACCTGGGTGCACACCTCCTCCTTGGACCTTGTGCTGAGAAGCAGGGATGCAGAGGCATTGGGCAGGAGTAAGATTTTGAATTTTAGAGATTTTCTTTTAGGTAAAGGATTAGTTTATTTCTGGGAACAAGATTAAAAAATGGAGACCTTTTCAAGGCTACCTCAACTCCACTGCCATCAAGTTAATTCTAGCTCAAGGCAACCCTCCATTGCGTTTTTGAAGCTTGTAAATCTCTATCGGGGGTGACTGTCCCTCTTCCTTCCTTGGAGGATCTTGCTGTGTGATGCAGAGTCAGAACCGTCCATAGCTGACCCTCCAGCGGGTTTGCAGAGACAGTAAATCCCATAGGAGGATGTTGCCCATCTTCCTCCTGCAGTGCAGCTGGATTTGAACCTCCCATCTTTGCGCTGGCGCTGCAGTTTCTCACCACTAAGCCACCAGAGCTTCCTCTCAGAGTGCCTGGTGGGTTCATACTGCTTGACACATTGTTGTTATGTGTCGTCACGTTGCCTGCGACCTGTAGCGACCCTGTGTACAGCCGCTCTGCAGCCTGCCCTGTCCTGAGCCAGTCTCACTGACTCTTAACACATACACTAAAAAAAGCCCTCAGAATCTTAAAAAAAAACCCTGAACAACTTACTACCATCGAGTGGGAATCGACATGGGCTCAGGCCGCAAAGTGCATGGGGAAAGAGTGCCCATCTTTCTGCCAAAGAGTTGTTGGTGGCTTTGAACCACTAGGGAGGCATGGCCTTGGACTTAGCAGCACATCTCGGGGCCGCCAGCCACTTGAGGTTAGGTGGCCAGAATGAACGATCAGTAACATGGTTTGTATGTTTTAAGTAATCAGTAGTCCATTTTTGTTTGTGTTTACAAGTAGAGATGATATAGCTTCCTTTTAATACACATTTGCTATATATAAGACTGTTAAAAGTTGCTAGGGACTATGTAAAAATAAAACCCAGTCCCTGCCTTTAAGGATGTCCAATATTTATTAGGTAACACATAACTAAGCACAAAGTCATCGTGGGGCGTGCAGGAAAGGAGTTGCACAGCCAGCAGGGTCTGAAGAGGAGTGAGGGCTCAGGGGGTCTGGTGGGAGGAGGAGGAAGAGGAAGTGGGTGGGCCTGGGAGGAATTTGGATAGTCAGGGAGAGTGTGTGAGCAGCGCATTTGTGGGAGCAAAGTCCCGGGAGTGGGTGGAAAAGAAGCCTGAGCAGATGAGAAAGATGAGTAAGAAGGTGGAGCTGAGGCTGCGAGGTTGACACACATCATGTGTTTAAGCTCGTCCTAAGGAATAACCCCGTCACAGTGGTGATGCGTGGCGACATGTTGCTAGGAGAGGCTATTCCTGGGAGGGCGGCCCCATGCTTGGAAAGATCAGTGAGAGAGAGAGGAAGCTCCTCAATGAGATGGATTGATGCTGTGACTGCACAGTGGCCTTAAGTGTCAGAGATGACGAGGACGGCACAGGATACGACAGGGTTCCGCGTTCTTGTTCGTAGGGTCGCTATGAGTCGGACTAGACTGGACGGCACCTAACAGCCAGATTGGAGAGTAGTGGTTCTTAGGTGCCGGCGCAAGTTGGCCCCGAGTGATACCGAGCCAGAAGCTGGCCGTCTTCATCAGTGTGGTGGGAGATCGGACCGTCGTCTGTGGGGTCTCCACAGGCGGTTTTTTGGAAGCAGGTCATCAAGCTTCTCTTCCTAGGCCATCTTACTTTAGAAACTCTGCCAACACCTTTTCAACATCGTCGCGACACACGACCCTCCACTGATGGCATTTACTGTCCAGGAATCAAGCCTGAGTGTCTGCAGGGAAGGGGAGAATTCCGTCACTGAGCCTTGAGACTAGTGAGACAAAAACTCTAAACCCAACCGCTGTTGAATTAGTTCCAACTTGACAATCTTCACCAGGGCTGCAGATCCTTCCTTTCTAAGGATGGCTGATGGATTTGAACTGTCGGCCTTTAGATTAACAGTGTTAGAACTCCTAGGAGAGTTGGAGAGGGAGGTAATAGCTGAGAAAGGCTGTTGGATAAACCAGGAGACTTTGGGGGTCTTTGGAAGTGTGCACAGTGGTGTGGAGGGGAGGCCAGAATGGAGGGGGCATCTTAGTAAATGCCTGGGGTTTTCAGTCTGAGGATTGTGGAGACAGTTGACAGATGCAGTGGAAGGAAGCCATTGAGGAGAGTGAGCGAATGACTGCGTGTGTGTGTGTGTGAGAGAGAGAGAGAGAGAGCAGAAGGTTTGGGTTGATTGGAGAGAGTGAAGGAGTGGTGCTCTTAACACTGAGCCACTTTAGGTTTAACTTCAGAGGCGTGTAAAACCAAGCTTGAGAAGATCCTGCTTTGGGCTAACTGCAGGGACGTTAAGGTGACCCTGTGTGGTGCAGCAGTGCTGTGAACAGTCAGGTGGACAGTGCATTCCAGGAAGGAAGCTGTGGGCAGGGGTTGCCACCTGGAGTCAGGACCTTAAGGTGACCCTGTGTGGTGTGGCAGCACTGTGGACGGTGGGGTGGATAGTGCATTTCAGGAAGGAAGCTGTGGGCAGGGGCTGCCACCTGGAGTCAGGGAGGTGTGGTGTCAGGGTCTCGAGCACAGGGGAGCAGTGTGTCTTGTCCCTGTCTTGACCACGTCCCTTCCTTTCTAGCATTTCAGCCGTGCAGTGGCTCTGTAATGCCAACAAGAGGTCCGACAACCCTGCCAAGCGCCTGTACTGCTTTTTCTCCTCTCTCTATTCAGCTCTGGTGAGTGCCTTCTCCTGACCTGGGCTGGCTGCCTGGCCCTCCCTGGCCCTGCAGGTGGAGTGAGGAAGCCACAGGGTCACACCTGAGGGCCAGTCAGAAAGGCCTTCATGGGCAAGATAGTGGCCACTCAGGCAGAACGGAAAAGTTGAAGCTCAGTGGCCTACTTCCTCACGCAACCCGGAAGACTGATGCAAAATTCCAAGATCATTGACTGATTTGGAATAGGCCATTTATGAGTCACTGTTGGGAATTTTAATCAGAAATTGGGATGGGGACATGGCGTCAGCTGAATGAGGAACCCACGTTGAGTTCCTTCACTTCTGTGACGCCCCCTTCTCTGGCCTTGCTGGTTCTCCGTCCCTCACTCGCTGAGGGTGAGTTGCTCCCAAGAGGACCTGATTCTCTCCCACGCACTGGAATTAGTCCTGAACTTTGGAGGACCCATAGATTTGCCCTTCTCTGCTCAAATTCTGTTGCCTGGTGTGTTTCGATCTTGCGCTCCCCACAACACGTGGGTCTCTATCACAGTGTCCCGGAACCACACACCCCGTCTCCTGTCACTCTTCGTCTCTTGGTCCTCATTTCTTTTTTCCCTTTGGCACTCATCACTGTTACAGATTAGCTGCCTCCCCCACTGACACGTGGGCTCCCAAAGCATCAGGACTGGCGTTCTCCCGCTGCCTCCCTCTTCCCCCCTCTTCCCACGCCTGCATATCTACCCAGGAACAGTGTCTAGACACGGCAGAATCTCAGACAACATTCCACGCATGCAGGCAGAGAGGGGTGTCCAGGGCCTGGCCCCACGGGGCACTGGTCAGACCATTCTGTTTCTCTCGGCAGGCCCGGGGTGCCCGCGCTGTTCTGCAGCTTTACCCGGAGAACTCGGAGCAGGTGAGCCCCTGGGTCACTGAAGGTGCAGGGAGGGGCAGGGTGCAGAGCAGGTGGGTGGCCCTGCCCCTCGCTCGCCTGGCCTGCCCTGACTGGTGGAAGGAGGAGCGTGTACCGGGGGGTCCCTGTGGTCGCACATACCCTGACTGCCGGCTAGGATGGCGTTCCAGGGGTGTGATGTTACTGATCCCCTGACCGAGTGAATCCAAACAGGCTGGGGTGAGGGGGTGTCAGCTCTCTGCTCGCTGAAGTGTGAGCTGCTGGGGGATACAGACTTGGAGAGACAGGTGGGGTGACGCCCTGACAGGCAGCTCAAAGACATCTGGCCCCCAGTGACGACCTGGGGCCACGTTCCCCAGAAAGAGTGACCCTCAAGGTTCATGGTCGTAGACAGACAGAAACTGACCCAACTCAAAAACATTAGCTTATTGGGACAGGAGACTTTCTGACTAGAGACGGGTGTAGCTGCCCAGCCGCTGGGGCAGCGGCCACCTACTTACCTCTGAAGATGAGGGGAGGCGGCTAAGTGTTTTATACCCCTACACCAGCAACCCCCAGTACACGGCAAAATCCAGAATTACAGACTGGGAAAATGTTAGAAATGCAAACGCTCAGTGAAAGGAAAAACCCCTCCTCCTGCTCGATAAGGGGGAACAGTCGACTTGCCTTCGTTCTGGGAAGAAACCAGAGAAACAAGCCTAGACTCGGCCAGCCTAGCATCCGTGTAGCCATCTTGGGCGTTTGTAGTATGTGCCAGAGTGACCGTCGCAGGAGTCAGCTCAGGCCAGTGCCTCCCTCAGCCCCGCTCTCCATCCTCCCAGGCCGGGTCTGGGCGGGTTAAGGGCTGCACTTCTCAGCTGGAGTGAGGTGAGGCTGTTAGCCCCTCCAGCCTCCCCTCTGACTCACTGCCCCTCTCCCCTCAGCTGGAGCTCATCACCACCCAGGCCACGAAGGCAGGCTTCACGGGGGGCGTGGTGGTGGACTACCCCAACAGCGCCAAAGCCAAGAAGTGAGTGCCGGGGCCAGTGAGTCGTGCTGGGGGGCCTTAGCTGAGAAAACCAGAGGAGGACTGGGTTGGGTGGTCAGGACTCAGGCAGGCAGGAGGCGCGTGTGCTCAGCTCCTGGTCCCAGACTGACGCTGAGGGGGACCTCACTTGGCACTTCAATGTTTCAGGTTTTACCTCTGTCTGTTTTCTGGGCCTTCCGGCTGTCTGCCAAAGGTAAGGGCCTGTCAGTTTGCCTGTGTGTTGGATTCCTGATTGTGGGGGGGGGTTCCAGAGGAGCATGCTGGGAGTAGAGGTATAGAGACCCCCCTTGCCAGGATTACAGACCCTGGCCTGTGAGTCCTCTGGGGCCTGGGGACAGGGACCCCTGCTCTCTAGAATGGAGTGGTGGTTCCTGCCAGGGAAGGGCTCGGGTGGGTGCCCCGGCTCTTCAGGGTGCGAGATCTCCAAGGGAAGCTAAGAGCACTTTGGTTCCTGCAGGGGCTGAGCGACCAGAACAGCGGAGCCAGGGGCAAGGAGTCCATGTTCACTAATGAGAGGTAACACGCCGCCCGGCAGGGCTCACTGCAGCCAGGCCCTTCTGCGGCAGGCCTGCTCCCCTTCTCTGCTTCAGTTCATGCCTCTCGGGTTTATCTGCTGCGGTGACACTGGGGTGGTGGTACAGTCAGAGACCCCTTGGGACTGTGTCTGCTGCAGCCTTGGCGGCCAGGGCCCTTCTGGAGGCGTGGGGGTAATTGTGAACCTTGACCCCCACTTCTGAGTCTGCATACATCCCTTCTCCTGTCACGCGTGACATCCTCTCTCTGACCTTTCAGCCTGCCCATAGGCCAGCTGCCCTGTGAGCTTCCCCTCATGGCCTGGCCTCTGGCCGACTCATACAGTTGTTAGAAAGGTCCTGAGCCTCAGAGTATTAACACACTATCTAAAAATCCCCGTGGTGGGCTGAGTACCTCACATGTCTATATATTTCCTTAGTCATTTATCAAGATTACAGAGCCTTGGCCTTGGCCTTCAGGAGAGCCCCTGCCTCCTGGTTTCCTATGCCTGCATTGGCTGTTCCTTCCCACAGTGTCCTGTGGACACGAGTCTCGACCCCTCTCCCTGCATCACTAAATTGCAACTGTGGCCTCCTAACTTCAGTCTCAATCCCAATCCCATCCTTGATTACCAGCCTTCCTCCCAGTCTCTACCCCAGAACATTCCGCAGGCATTGAGAACACAAAACAAAGCTCTCCATTTTCACCCCTAGACTCCCCTCTTCTTTCAGGCTTACTCATACCTCTCTTTCCTCCCTCTGGTATCCTTCCATCAGTGTGCCCAGTACCCACTTTACCCACCCCCACCTCGCTGCAGGTACCACCACTCGCCTAGGTTACAGCTTCCAGGCCATAGCATGTCGTTTTCAGTCTTCTTTCAACTTCTTCCTTTTTTTCCCCTTGTTGTGTATTGTCAAATCAGATCCGACTGGCACAGGAGGAGATTGCCCCTCCTTCTCCAGCCGAGCATCTGGTGGATTCGAACTGTACAACTTCAGGATTGCAGCGCAGCTTCTTGCCACTAGGCCACTCGAGCTCCCCTTTTTCAACTTCTTTTCTGCACAGATCTTTTCCTTTTTGAAGCGTGTAGATTCATTCTCTTCCATGGGCACCCCTTACCAGTCTCATGTTCCTTGGTCTTCTGGTTTGTTAATTTGGCTTTGATCTGTGTCCCAAATGAGAATGAACACTTGGTCAGGACCTCAGAGTAGTATAGGTAGTAATTAGTACACACGATTTCTTTATAAGTGGTGAAAGAGAAAATGGTTGCTTGGTGCAGGCTGACACGAGTGAAAAGCCTTAGGATTTGTGCTGTCTGACCCCTCATCGGCCTTAGTGGCCCAGTGGTTAAGCGCTGATGGGCAGCTGCTCGCCAGCTGGTGACTACAGAAAGACCTGGGTATTGTGTGCCCGTATGGGTTATAGCCGAGGAAGCCCCTCAGCAGGGCTGCTTGTCACATGGGGTCTTTCTGAATCCTGGTCAACTCAGTAGCACCTCCCAGCAAAGACCCCGTGGCCCTCCAGGGTCCTCTCACTTCACCAGCCCGTTCCCCAGCGGCAGCTCAGGACGGTTCCACATGTTCCTGCTCCGAGGTGCCCAACCCTGCTGCCCCTTCTTGTTAACCTGTAAGTGCTTCCATCTCTTATTCACAAAAGCAGTCGTTTCACTTCAGTCCTCCTTAGAATCCCATTTGTTTTCACACGGGTGCCCCAAGACAGTGTGTCCAGTTGTAAACGTGGGTGAGCTCTGTAACTTCAGACTGCCTACTCTCCACTGCTTCAAAAGATGGGGCTAATCGGGCCACCTTCGCGGAGCATTGAGGGGCCCAGGACACACGTGCTGAGACCTCTGCCTTGCACCCGGCACACGCCTGCCTCCCCTGACTGCAGTCTGCAGGTTCCTCAGATTTGGTGGCGGAAGGGGGCAGAGTCTGCTGAGTGTTGAAACAACCACCAGTGCCATCTCCCCTTCCTCTCACATCTGTCTAATCGCCGTCAAGCCAGTTAAATAGGTGGATCTGTGAATAGTTCATTTAAACCCTGCCCAGTTGAGCTCAGAGCTCCAGTTTTTGGCTCTGGGTTTGTCACCCATGCATTCCTCGATCCTTCCCACCTGGCCTTGCTTCCACCACCTGACTGCTTACTTGAAAGACTTCCTAGTTCATCAGTCCCCTGCCTCAGTCCCCTCCCTGGCTTTGACCCACAGACCCACGTTTCTCCCTCGGCACCTCGCCTTCGGGCACTCTGCATCTCCAGATGCCCCTTTGACCGCCCCTGTGACTCCCCGTACTCCGCTTTGCCTCACATCTTGCCCCCTGTTCACTGCTGGGCTCCTGCTCTGCCCCGTCCTCCTCGAGTTCTAAGGATTAAGCTCCGTGCCTTTGCAGTCGAAGATTTGCCGCTGGCTCCCCTTTGCACCCGGCCGTCAGCCTGGGGACCGGTTTCTCAGCTGTCACCAACTCTTCTGGGTTACTTGGTCCCCTTGTCTTCTTTACCTGTTCCTTCCTGTGACTCACCGTAGGTCCTCTGGTTACCATCCTGAGTTACTGCTGTGTCGCCCTGCTTGTTGAGACCCCATCGTGTCCCACACTCTGGCCTCAGCCCTGTTCTCAGTCTTCTGCTCCTGATTCCAGGCAGTCAGGACCGTGTGCTGTTCTCTCACATCGCATTCAGTCCCTCAGAGGGTGCATTTTCATGTTTTGCCTCTTGCCTGGGGCGCTGCCCTCCTCCACTTCTGCCTGTTGAAATACAGCTTCCATCCACTGCCCGTTTACTTCTCCCCTGGACCTCCACACACACTTGGCCTACTGCAAGTGGCCCCCCGCCACGGCCCACTCGGCCTCCCTTCCCTGAGGCTGTGGGGACCCCCTCTCTCCTCAGCCAGGGTGGGAGGCCCACAGCAGCCTTGGAGGGTCATCGTTGGGGCTGCTGTGAGCTAGGCAGCCTCATTTTCCTGCCTCAGACATTAGAAATGAGCAGGGAGGGTTGGACTGGGGCCCAGAGTGGTTTCCTCAAGCCCTGCAGCCTCTTCCTGGCAGAGCTTGGGGTGCTCCTAGACTAGCCGACAGGCAAGGCGTGTTCACACCTGTGGAGATGCCCACCCGGCCCCTCTGGTCCTTCCAGACAGTGGCTGTGGCCCCCGTGAATACTGCCGTTGAGGTGGGGCATCTCTCGTAGGCAGGAAGACACATTTGCAGGCCTGCCATCTCTTCCGCCCTGGGTTCACGCTGGCGTGGCCAGGCTGCTTTGGCGTGGGCACTCAGCTCTGTCTCCCTCACAGGGTCCCTCACAGGACTGCGAGGAAAGGGCTGGTGAGGAAGAGCCGAGACTGGGTGCTGGAGAAGAAGGAGCGTCGCCGACGGCAGGGGAAGTGAGTGCTGGGGCGAAGGGGGGCTGCAGCCACTAGAGGCCGCATCTGAGGGCGCCCAGGGGGGCTTGCGTCATTTTTTTCTGAGACTCTTCTGTGCTTCCCCCTCCTCTTGTCTCTGGCACAGGGAGGTCAGACCTGACACTCAGTACACAGGCCGCAAACGGAAGCCCCGGTTTTGAGCAGTAGCTGGGTCCTCGGGACAGCTCCGACACGCAGGAGGGACGTCGCCAGCCAGGCAGGCGTCTACCTCTGCCGAGTTTTTTCTACTCAAGTGCCTGCTTCATCACTTGATAGATATGGACAGTGTTCTGAAAAGATCCGAAGGTCAACAGTTTGAATCCATAAACTGCCCCACAGGAGAAAGATGGGCTGACCCCTGTCAAGGTTTACAGCCTTAGGACACCATGTTCTAGAGCCCATCAGCTGGCCGTGGGGGCACAGGAAAGTTCTAGAAGTTGGTTTTTGCTTTGTTTTTTTTTTGGGGGGGGACGGGTATGTGTATAAAAGCTCTAAGAACATCTTATTTTAAGAGCAATAAACCACTTTATTTGGAGCTCTCTAGTTCCAAACAAATTTTCCAAGTTCTATTGAGATGACAGTTTGGTTCACCAGGCAGGAGAAAGGTCTAAGGAATGTTTTCATTCTTTTCATTTTCGAAAGCATTGTTTTCATCAGTGAGGGGCAAAGGTGGGTTCCTTTACCTGAGGGTTTGTCACAGTGGAGAATCCACTGGAAGGGCTGCCAGGTGTCAGCCTGAGGCCCTGTGCCGTCCGAAGGCATCACCCAGCCAGCTGTGGAGTGGAGCCGGCCTGCCACTGACCTGCCTGGCACTCGGCTTGCTAGGCTGGGGCCTGCAGGGATGGCTAGTGGGCTGAGAGGAGACGGCTCTGGTGGTTCCCTGAGACACAAGAATGGGAGGTTGGGTAGAGGGTCCAGCTCCGGGTCAAGGGCCCATGCCCTGGCCTGGAGTCTTATCCAGGCATTAGGTCCCAGGCCTGCCTTTGGCAGAGGCTCAAGCTGGGGTATGAGTAGAGTTCTGGGCCCAGCTTCATAGGAAAGGCTGGAGAAGTTCCATTGAACAGCACTTCCCCTGCAGGCCCAGGGCCAGACTTGAAGGAGGGGTGTGTGTGTGTGTGTGTGTGTGTGTGTGTGTGTATGTAGCTGAAATCTTTGCTCAAGCCCCAGCTCAGAACATTCACCCCCACTATGACAAGGCTGTGATGTGCCAGCATCAAGAACCCAGAGGAGAGGTCTGGTACAGATACAAATGTTTATTCTACATAAAAATTTCACAAAATGGGCAGCTGGTTGTACCAAGACCTTTGGTGATGGGTGGGGGAAGTCACCTGGAGAAGGCAGCACGGACAGTGGTCACAGGGCGAAGCTGAGGGGGGCCCTGGGGGCGCCCGGGCGTGCACGCACATGCACACTCCTTGCCCGTCAAGGAGGAAGGGGGCCTCGGGCAGGGCAGTTTCTGGCTTGAGAGGAGCCATGGGATGGAGAGGAGAGAGGTCCCCTGCCCGGCTGGCTGCTGAATACTGCGTCTGAAACACCCGACACCCGCGTGGCACGTCAGTGGGGACAGCAAGGGCAGGACACGACTGCAGGCCTGAAGTGACAATTCCTGACTTCCAGAGCACAAGAGCAGGGACATGGTCCCAAACATGCAACACACAATGGCTTGAGGACCCAACCAGGACTTGCCAGGGGCAGCGGCTGGCCTGGCTGCAGGCTCCGGCCAGATGGGGCATCATGAGGCCGCCAGTGCCATCAGGCCAGGGCATCGGCCAGCTTCTTCCAGAGGGTCAACAAACAGCCCAGAGAGGTTGTTGCTCCTGGGCTGTGGGGGTGCGAGGAGGGCCCTTGAGAGGGGACGAGGCCAGGGCCTTGTCCCAAGGAACCAGAGGCCTGTTGGCTTTGCCCAAGGTGGGGAGGGGCCTGGTCCTGACGTGGCCAGAAAGCAGGGAGCCCTCAGCCTCCTGGCAGTGGTCAGCTATCAGAGGCGTTGAGCTGAGCTGTCCCGCAGGGCCACCCCTCCCCTAACCTGAAAAGCAGCACCATGTGGCCAGCTGGTCCCCAGCCCCTTGGGGAACAGCTGGAGAGGCCAGAGGACAGGGCAGATAGGGGTCAGCTGGAGGCAAGGCTGGTCCAGAGAGGGAGTGTGCCTCGGTGCCAGGAGTGGGCAGACCCAGACTCACCCGAGGGGCAGGTGTGGACTTGAAGGAAGGGTGGCAGTGGTGCCCTGGGCCTCCCTGCCCAGTGAGGGTGAGGCGGCCTGGGCCAGGGTCTGAGTGTCCCTTCCTGACTCCTGTCCCTGCCCCCTGGGGCCAGTTCCCGGTCTGGCTCCCTGTGCCTCTTCTGTACAGACACACACTGTCACAAAGATCATGCACACAACACGCTCAGGGCAGGGCGGGATGTGGCCCTGTGGCAGAGAGGAGCAGCACGGGGTAGGGGTGCTCCAAGCCGGAGGCGGAGTGGGGACGGCAGCCGAGGGGTGCCCGGTGGACCGTCCCGTGTGGAGCGGCAGTGGGCGACCTCTATCCAAAGATGCCACCAAAGGTGGAGGCGATGACGATGCCCAGGACCACGCAGCAGATGATGATCATGATCTTCTTCTGCAGGGGGGGCGGGCAGGACAGGCCCTCAGCGCAGGGGGCGGGGCGGGGGCAACAGGCCCTCAGCGCAGGGCGGGGCGGGGGGGGAGCACTGGCCCTGCGGGGAGGGCGAGCTGGGACAGGCCATGAAGGGTGGAGGCGATGACGATGCCCAGGACCACGCAGCAGATGATGATCATGATCTTCTTCTGCAGGGGGCTGGGGCAGGACAGGCCCTCAGCGCAGGGGGCGGGGCGGGGGCAGGACAGGCCCTCAGCGCAGGGGGCGGGGCGGGGGCAGGACAGGCCCTCAGCGCAGGGGTTGGGGGTGGGAGCACTGGCCCTGCGGGGAGGGCGAGCTGGGACAGGCCATGAAGGGGAACCTGGTGAGGTCTTTGATGCAGGTATGGGTGGACAGTGGTATGAAGGCTGAACACTGTAAGGGGTTACAATGAAGTGAAGTGGGGTGCTAAAGGTCCCGGGACAGAGTTGGGTGACAGCTGTGTTCAGGGAGGTACAAAAGAATGGGAAGGGACTTGGGGTGGCCTTGGGGGAAGGGCTGCCTCGGGGGAGACGGGCTTGAGCTGGGCTGGGGTACTGACCCGGCGGGCCTTGCTCTGGTACTTGACAGCCTTCTTGGTGTCAGACACGGCCCTCTCCACGTAGTCCACTGAGTGCTCCACATTGTACTCGATCCTGTCAATCATCTCCCCCTGCGGGCCAAGGGGGAGCCGAGCTCAAGGGCCCCTTTCTCAGGACAGGACTTCAGGGAAGCACCTGAGGTTTGAAAGAGAAAGGAGAATGTCAGACTTCTTACCTGTGCCCCACAGACCAGGCCGTTAGGCAGGATTGGGCTTCCGGAGCGGCTGGCCCTGCAGGACGTTCATAGGTGGGACACACTGATCACAGGGACTGGATATGCAGTCTCAGCCACAGGGTTGGGGACCATGCAGAGACCCACGATGCCTAGTGCCAGGCAGAGGGAGAAGGAGACAGGCAGGAGGGGACTGGAGTCTGGGGTGACCATGCTGACCCCACTCAGCTCTGACAGTCTGTGCCCATCAACCATGAAGCCCCCTAGCTTGTTATGCCCTCCATGCCCCTGCCCAGCTCAGGGCTGGTGGGTCATCCTTGAACCACAGTCCTCTCTCCGCTCTCAGTCTGGACCTGTGCTGCCCCCCTCCAGGGCAGGTATGCTAACAAGACTCCCAAGGAGTTAATAACTGCCCTTGATCTCCAAGTCCATGGCCACCCAACAGTGTCCATGTCACTGTGGTCTCCCCTGTCTGTGGACATCCTGCCTCCATAAGGGTCAAATTCTGTCCACAATTAAACCCCTCTGATCTAGAAGATAATTCAAATGCTCTCCACCCCACCTGGCCCCACAGACCTCATCTCCATCTGCCTCTCAGCCCCCATCCATCACCCTGTGCTCCAGCCTCACAGACTTTCTAGTTGTCAGCCGAACTCTGCTCTGATCGACTGACTTCCAGAAATCTGCATGGGGTGGGGCCAGGTCTTTACTCTTTTGGAAGTCTGAATGGCCAGGTCCTCAGCGGCCTTCTCTGGCCACCCCATCCGAAGCGGCTGGCCTTGTCACAGTAGCACAGCGCCTCCGGACCAGCAGCATCAGCGTCACTCGTGAGCTTGACAGAGGTGCGAACTCAGGGGGCCCACTCTGCCCCACTGGTCTCTGGGGATGGAGTCCAGGAAACTTACAAGCTGCCCACGTGGTTCTCAGGCCCGGGTGGGTGGGAAAACAACTGCTCTAGCAGCGGCCTCCTCCTGACATCTCCTGTGCACCTGGCCCACCTAGAGAATGTCCTGTTTCTTTACCTGCACTGCCCTCTCTCCCAACAGACATGCCCTCCAGGAAACAGAGCCTTCTCTGTCCTGGCCACACTGTACCTCCAGCTCTTAGAGAACGACTAGATCCAGCAGCCATTTGAAAACCAGCTAGTGGCCAGGACAGGGATGGGCCTGGGGGAGCGCCAAGCAGAGCCATGCAGCGCCAGCACCTGGTGGCAGAGCCATGCAGGGTGGGAACGGGCCCTTCAGGTGGACAGTGCCAAGCAGAGTCGGGGACCTGAAGGCACTGTCAGGAGCGGGTCACTAGTTACCTGCAGACTTGGTCCCTCCCAGGCAGGGGCAGCATGTCGGGCAGAAAGGGGAGGGGTTAGTGCAGCCCTGGGGGCTGCTGGGGCCTGGGGCTGGGGGTCCCGAGCACGCACCTGGCTCTCCACGAGCATGGCCATGTCCATGAACATGTCATGCAGCTCCCGGATGCTGTTCTCCAGCCTGATGATCTCGCTGTGCCGCGTCTCAATCTCGCTCAGCGCCTGCTTCGAGATGCTGGAGTCCATGATGATCTGGAGGGTGGAACAGTGGGCTGGGACCCCGGGCTCTCTGAAGGGGGTGAGACTGGAGACCAGGACCAGAAAGGCAGAAGGCCAGAGGGGCAGGCAGAGGCTGAGCAGAGCTGATGCAGAAGGGAGGCCCCTACAGTCCTCCCCGGAGGCCTCCTGGCCGTCCCTCTTCGCTCAGTGATTGCTCCTGACTCGCCCTAAGACCTGACTTCCTAGG